AATATATATATATTTTATAATTTAAAAAACTATATATATATATATATAATTTAGAGTAAGTGTATTACAATATTTTGTTTTTTATTTTAAAGTTTTAGTTTTTCTTCAGCTGACATGCATAATGCTTAGGTAATTTATTGTGTGTGTGTGTGTATGTGTGTGTGCGCGTGTATAAAATTGTATAACTTTATGTAATTAAATTAAATTAATTATGTTTGTGATTAAGTAAGTGATTATATTTCATTTTATTATTATAAATTATGATATTTTAGTAAGCATCTTGTTTTTTTATTTCAAAATGATTTTAATTGAAATATTTAATGATTTAATTAATTATTAGCTATAATTACTATAATTATAATAATTATAATTATTATTACTATTTGAATATACACACAACATGTTTTCTTCCAAAAATAAAGTTAATTTATTAAAATAAATTGTATGATTAATAATTAAATATATAAAATTAATTTATGTTACTTTTCAAAGTACAGGCACATCAATTACATAAGCATCACAAAAAAAGTTCACAAATGAACGTCACATAATTTATTCCAGAAAGCTGTTATTTAACAAGAAGCCTCACCTTCTGAACAGTTGTGTCCATGAAACGGCCTGCGGCAGTCGCACCTGTAGTCTGACCACAGATCCACACAGCGGCCGCGCTCAGAGCAGGGGTCCAGCCCACACCAGTCGCTCTTCTCACAGCCCATCTGCACATCCGGCTGCAGACCGAAGCTCTGGGGAAGAACCGGCTGAGAATCCACCAGCAGATCCTCAAAACAGCCCAGGAATCCCATCCTGGATGCAGTTCGGTTGAGGTATTCCTGCGGCACCCCGCCGAGGTAGACTCTCTCCAAACCGTGTGGCTGGAAGGACAGAAGCTGGTTGTGTCCTCCATCCTCAGCTCTGGTCAGGTCGTCTGATAGCGAGGTCAGAATCAGTCTCTCGTCCACACTAACCGAGACTTCGTGCCAGAGTCCGTCGCTGAAATCCCCACTTAACTGCACAGCCAGCTTTAAGTCTCCCGATTCGGCTCTGGAGTGCAGGTCTCCACCAATTAGCTCCAGTATGAAGAAGTGCTCTTGGCTTCCCCGGAGGAAGAGAATTAGATCCGACAAGGTCGTCCTGAACCTCAGCTGGACGCTCGGCCCTTGGGATGTCCTGTTGATTTGCGGGACCTCGATGACCAGATAACCTAGATATGGCAAAAAAATTAAAATCTCGATTTTTTCAGAAAGTTTTCTTGATTTTTTTATGATTTTCAACTAGTCAACTTGAAAATGTAACTACAACATGATTAAAGTAACTTTATTATCTTTATTAACCCTCTAGTTAAAGACAATTCTATTCCAAGTGCACCACACATGAAGTTGTCAACATGACGTAAATGTTAAACAAATCACTTGTTAAATATCTTTGCAGGAAAGATGCATGAACTACATCTTGTACAAAAATCTTATACATATTGTATGTTCAATTAAAAATGACTTAAGGTTCAATACAAGTAGACTATTAACTGTAAATGTTCTGTAAAACCAACAGCAGCTTTGAGCCTGTCACCATGATGCAAACATGAAATATCAGACATACAGTAGTAGTTACAGGTTTTTTTATTCGCTTGCTCTGCTTTTCCATAGTTTTTTTTTCTATGTAAACATAGATGTGTCGACTGTTGTGCTCGCGTCTCTTGCAGCGTCTCATACATGAAACAGCAGTCTAAAAACGCAGAGCTCAAGTTAAAAGTTCACTCCCATCTTCTTGCACGTTTTTCCTATTCCACTGCAGCGTCACATTTTATCAACACATAAGCGCATGAGCATATGAGCGCGTCACGTGTGAGCAGTTAATCACGTGCGCCGACATGCTGTTGGATCGTTCTTTTCTCTTTAGCGTTATTATTTCCATATCGTCAAAGTGTCTAATTCTAACGTTTGGTGATATTTATCTTCAAAATACACAACATGTATGGATGGACTAATGAAGCAGAGCAGGATTTACAAGCTTGTTTTGACCTCACTGATTGGAGTGTTTTTGAAGCTGCTGCCACCGATCTGGACGAGCTCACAGAGACTGTAACATCTTATATCAGTTTCTGTGAAGATATGTGCATTCCTACCAGGACTCATTTAACCTACAACAACGACAAACCATGGTTCACTGCAAAACTCAGACAGCTCCGTCAGGCCAAAGAAGATGCTTACAGGAAGGGGGACAATGTCTTGTATAAACAGGCTAAATACACACTGGAAAAGGAGATCAGAGTGGCAAAGAGGAATTATTCTGAAAAAATAAAGATTAAATTCTCTTCCAGTGATCCAGCATCAGTGTGGAAAAGTCTAAAAGAAATCACCAACTACAAGACACCATCCCCCAGTACTGTGCAGAATCAACACCTGGCAGACGATCTGAATGAGTTCTACTGCAGGTTTGAAAAAACACATTGTAATATACCTGCACACACAATTGCCAATTTATATATTTTTATTCCTCATTTACTTTTTTACTATTTTTATTTTTATTATCTGTGTTTTTTGTTCTGTCACTGTCATTCTGTTACACTGTGGAAGCTTCTGTCACGAAAACAAATTCCTCGTATGTGTAAACATACCTGGCAATAAAGCTCATTCTGATTCTGATTCTGATTCTGATTCATTCTGATTCTGATTCTGATTCTGAAAATCGCGATTCCACAATTTCTAAAAAATAAAACCGTGGCAAAACATTAAATTCGAATTAATCGATCAAATCTGTAAAATTGCCCAGACCTACCTCCTGTTGTCACAGACAGAGGTGGGTAGTGACGAAGTACATTTACTTGAGTACATTTTTGGGAAATTTGTACTTTTAGATTTAAAGGGGTCATATGATGCAATTTCAAGTTTTTCTTTCTCTTTGGAGTGTTACAAGCTGTTCGTGAGTAGATACGCTGCCTAAAGTTGCTAAGACTAAAGTCTCAAACCCAAAGAGATATTCTATTTAAAAGTTAAGACTCGTCCACGCCCTCCTAAAACGCCTCATTTAAACACGCCCCCACATGTCTATGTCACTGTGTGGGAAAATTTGGATAACACCACCCAAATGTTCACGCAAAGAAAGAAGTTGTAACTTTGATTCTCGCTGTAGTATTGTTGCTGCCGCCGCCGCCATGTCGTGAAGACGCTGTGTGTTTCATTGCGAAAGCGAAAATACTTTGTTTGGTCTTCCAAAAGAGGACACAACTAGAAATCAGTGGTTAAGTTGTATTTACAACACTGTTCCAGAACAGTTCAAACCACATATTTGTGTGTGTGCAACGCATTTTACGGAGGACGAGGACCGTTTCCTGACCCTGTGAGAGTAGACTACAATGCCGGCTGTTCTGACTCACAGCCTGTAAGTATGTTTTTATATTTAAAGAATTCGCCACTGATGATTCAAACGTGAGTTTTGAGCAGTGTAGAGTAGCGCTTGTTGTTTGTCATTTCTCTGATCACAAATGCAGACATGGTTTTATGTTTACGTGGCGCGATGCAATGCAACGCGTAAAAAGACAGTATAAGTCATTATAATCCGTAATTATGTCCCCACTGGACGCAACAAATGCCTCGTTTATAATGGGTTTTAATGTTTTTGTCTCGTCGCTCCGGGACACGGCATCGCAGTATGGTAAGGGGCATAACATTTCCGTCACACGCTTGAGTTATTCGGCCAATCACAACGCACTGGATAGCTGGCCAATCAGAGCACACCTCGCTTTTCAGACCGATGAGCTTTGTAAAAATCGACGCGTTTCAGAAAGGCGGGGCATAGAGGAGAAACAATAATGTACAGTATGTGGAAAATAATGTGTTTTTGAACCTTAAACCGCCTAAACACATTTCATTACACCAAATACACAAAATAATGTTATTTTTTAGCAACATCATATGACCCCTTTAAAGATGGGTACTTTTACTTTAGCTCGAGTACATTTCTATCAAAAAAACTGTACTTTTATTTCGCTACACTGGGTGGCGTTCCTCTCGTTACTTAATTTGCAATTTGCAATACATGTTAAGAAACGCGTATTTTATTCCAAGCGAGCCGTCTCTTTTTTCTGGGGTATGAACGATGCCCCATTCGCGAATGAATCACTCTATTGAGTTGATTCTGTTCAAGGCCTTAAAGGGGTGGTTCACTGTTTTTTTTCTAGGCTTGATTGTGTTTATGGGGTGCAGTCTAACATGTGTTAATGCTTCATTTTTTTAAAAACGCATAATTTTTCACATAATTTACCTTTATTCCACACCGTTATGTCCCTTCTCTGAGAAACGGGCTGATCATTTCCTCTTCTCTAAAGCAGCGCAGCATGGCCTCGCCCCCTTCGTTGCGTGTTCCCGGGGGCGGGGTTTGTCTGGGTTTGTGATGTCACGAACCCGGGAAGTAACTCGTTGAGGTCCCTACCAGCCGTTTTTGTAGGCATTAAACTGCCAGAATTGTAAAAGACGATATCTCCATTTCCATTGAACTTTCAGCTTCGTAACTTTGCAGATATTGTTTATGCTCAAACAGCAACATTAGACACTAACTAACGTTAAAAAAATGTTATCGCAATGAACAACCCCTTTAAACAAACAAGCCTGCACAACGGTCTGAATTGGTTTGCGAATCACTTTGAATGTTTTGTTCAGTTCCCTGCATTTACTGAATCGTCTGAAGCAGTTTCTCATTCATTCCGGGTAAGAACACACAGGACATAAAAATCTACAGTAATTTAAGCCAAATCTGCAAATTCTACTGTTGGCCTGCAATGAGGTGTGTGCTGTTTCATTCATTCAAGTAATATTGTATCGGTAAGCTAGATCGACTGTCACGTGAAATGTGTAAAGTGAAATGAATGAAAAGTGCCGATCGCGGCATTTCATTTATGGTAGATTTGCTTTATTACATTGCATCAAATAATTTTTTGAGTCTGCAGCATTGAGCATTATAACCAACTACACAAGTTTCTGTTGAGCTTATGAATGCAATATCCAAACATAGGCATTTTGATTTATCACAGCGGAGAACTCCGGAGTTGTTCAGTGTGCGCGCTCATTGACTGAATTCTGAAGAAAATTCTCAGCAAATTCTCTCATTAGCATAAACAACAAAGTGCCATTGCATGACATTGCAGCTTCAACCTTTAATGAGTTATGAGTTAAGGTAGTTATAAAATTGCCCTCAAGTAAGAAATGAAGAAATGCCCCTGTGGAAATGAGTTCATTTCTGATTTATATATATATATATATATATATATATATATATACATATATTATATAAATATACTTTTACTTGAGTGCAGTTTTTGGCTACTCTACCTACCTCTGGTCACAGAGAAGGTGGTGGATGTTTGGCAGGTGTCACCGTGGAAGCCTGAAGGGCATGTGCAGGTGTGCTGATGCTGGTCTCTGAGCAGTGAAGGCACACAGGTGGCGTTGTTTTGGCAGGGGTCAGACACACAGGCGGTCAGCTGGACGTCACAGTCATGACCGCCCCAGGGCAGCTGGTCCGGCGCAGGAGGAGGACAGTGACACGTGTAGTCATTAATGGCGTCTTCACAGCGGCCGTCGTTCTGACAGGGTTCGCTCTCACACTCGTCCAGGTTAATCTCACACACCACACCTGCAGGGAGAATTACAGACTGAGGTCATGGATGCATTTGGCACAGACATTGTGTGTGTGTATATATATACAGTATATATATATATATATATATATATATATATATATATATATATATATATATATATAATGTAATGTAATGTAATGTATATATTTTATAATAACAAATGCAAAATATTAACAAAAACCTATTATAATATACAGTCAGGTTCGGCAGTATTTAGACACTGTCTTTGTGCTTTTGCCTTTATACACCACTACAATGGATTTGAAATAAAACAATCAAGATGTGAGTGAAGTGCATACTTTTAGCTTTATTTTAAGAGGTTCCACAAAAACATGAGATTTACCATTTAGGAGTTACAGCCATTTTAAGCAAAGTACCTCCATTTTCAGGGGCTTAATGGTATTTGGACATAAGTGACATAATTGCAAATATAAGCACAATTTTAATACTTGGATGAAAATTACTGGCTGTAGTCTGGAGCCCATGGACATCACCACATTCTGAGCTTCCTCCCTGGAGATGCTTTGCCAGGTCTGATTGTATACATATATATATATATATATATATATATATATATATATA